ATAGGGCAAGGAGTAATGTTTTACACTAAAGGAGGAGAGATTTACGCTAGATGTCAAGAGGAAGTTCTTTACTGGGTGAGTGGTGCACTGCTGGAACACTGGTTGCCCAGAGAAGTGGATGCCCCACCTGCCCTGGAGGCAGTTAAAGCTAGGACGGATGGGGCCCTGAGCAATCTGATCTAGTACTTGATCTGACCTAGTGCAAGGTTGGCAACCCTGCCTGTGGCAAGGGATTGGAACTTGATGATCCTTGAGGTCTGTTCCAGCCCAAGCCATTCAATGACTCTATGGTTCATTAGAACCATTGAACACACAGCTATACATACATGACAAGCCCTGGTGACAGGACTTCCAAAATCACTGTGAACTTTATGACAGCAGAGCAGATGCAGCTCACATCTTCCCACACATGCAAGCAAGCTCCCTGCCCTAGCACTGCTGAGGCTACTGCCTTCTTCCTACGCCTGCTGCCTTACCGTCCCCCTCTCCTCCTCAGTACTCACCACAAATCCTTATGAAGTCTGGAGACACAAGAAGAGAAGCATTATAGATCTTTGTGTACACCACTCCTACCCTTCCACAAAGCATTCTCAACTTCTGGTTTCTTCCCTGCTCCCTTCTAACTTTCACACACACTAAACTTTTTTAACACAGATAACAGATAGCCTCTTTACCAAACATAAAATTACACACATACCAAACTGTTAACAACCCACCATACATCTTCTACTTTCTAACTTTTTCTTTTAGGTTCCCAGAGAATGAGTCCGTGCATTTTGATTTTTACTAAGTTTGATTTAACAACTGCAGAGCATGCTCCACTGTTTCACAGAATACAATGTGCCTTCACTTTGCTTTGCTTCACTTTGCTTTTCAGAAGTCACACCACTCTGCTTGGTCCGATAAACTTACGTCATCACACACACACACGCATGTCACTGCACTAACTGCTCTGTGTCTGCTCAGGAAGCAACGAACCTCAGGAAGAGGCTTTACTTAAAGCATCTCCACGGACGCAGAGGTTGCCCACATGTCTCTTAATTGTCAACCTGCATAAAACACAGCAAGTTCTACATCCTGCTCTGGAGAGCAAGATGAGAAAGGAAGAATACTTTTCTCTCTGAAGATACAGACAAGTTGTTGCTAGATGGCATTTTTACTTTCCATTTACAATGGGTTTATCACAGAAGAATGAAGTGTTTTCCAGAGACAGGAATGTAAAGCAGCAAACAGATATGGGACAGGACATGGGATTTGCAGTACCACTGCTATTTCACTGCTTAATCAACACAAAGTCGTCTCTTCCCCCATCCAGGTCTTACACTGCTTAATCTAGTGGATATAAGCATTCCAAACAAGGATGATGCTTACACAGTACTCAATAACAGAGTATCGCATTTCCAATTTTTAAGTGAAATAGGGAAAGGCTTGCACTTAGTTATTGCTGCTTTTGACTGTGAAAAACCACAATTCAGTAACTTTTGATAAGCCTTGCATTATCTTCCCTGCTTTTCAGGAAACTAATGAAACTGAGAAGCCGGTCTGTCCCACATCAGATGTTGTAATGAGGTAGCATGGCTTGCTAAATGACAACCATCACAAACACTGACACACGACTTCCCAAAACACGTGTGCTGACAAACTGCCACCTCCTCCTATGGGATTACATACACCAAACAGCACTACGACTGCCCACGAGCTCATGGGACTCGTTCATGGGACAAGGAGGCACTTGTGAAGGCAATTCCTTCCCAAGAATTAATGGAGACTGCTGCAAAACAACTCACGAGTTTTGAATAGTACTGCCCTAGTTGATCTAGAAGCAAATGCAGAATGAGATTTGAGCTTTCTTCGGAGATTTCAATTTTTGTTTCACCCGTAGCCCTGGATTTAATAACGGTCATGCAGGAGGTGCAATTGGGATACAGCCTGTCCAGCTCATTTCCTTGAACGTGTTCAAAAGTGCACCTTGAAGCAGAGTACTGAAATCTTCAAGGGCCCTTCAGGCCTTACTACACCATGTAGATCAGGATCTCAGAATGGAGAGCAGTTCTTCCAACTCTAACTGCAAAATTAAACAAATAACGCCTTGCCATTTGAGAGCCTCTTAAGATTGCCTGAAGTGCTTGCAATATTCCTGCAAGTACAAGAAATAAACCTGCTTTGCAGAACAGCACACAGCTCTCACTAAGGCGGCTCAGAGACATCCGCCATGCAGGCAGCAGCTACCTGGAGACTCAGGGTGACTATGAGGGGAAGGGACTGCAGGGATCTTCAGTTCCACCCTCAGCTCAAAGCAGGGTGACCCAGGGGATGAGACCTCCCTTCTGAGGGCTTTGCACAATTACATCTTGAAAACTCCAAGGAAGGAGATGGGACTGCAACGCTCTGGAGCCATGAGGAAGGGGATGATTTGCTGCCACAGGGCCACCAGGTGAGACCCAGTGGTAGGGCTGCAGGGCTGCACCCCACCAGGACAGCCCTGCAAAGGGTGAGTTTGCTTAGTAACCGACAGCACACGAAATGGATAGAAATCAAAGCCAAGTCTTCTTAGTGTTAATACACCTTACTTAGTAGTACTAAGTCGCATCTTAGGGCCATATTCAGATGCCCTAAATTCCACATAAATCCTTCTGCCTCCTATTTCTTATTAGCTGGCTTTCAGTCAGCTCCCCATTCAGCATCTTACATAAATTCTCTGAACTGCTCTCCAAAAACAACTGGATTTCTCCATGGTCTGGGAAAAGTGGATTTGGTGTAATTGCAGCCACCTGAACCCCATCTGTAAGGCCCAGCAGCACCACTTCAGGCTGCATTACTCCTTTGGTCTCATCACTGTGGTGAGAAGCAGCAGTTTGTCAAGGTAAGTTTTGATTTTGTTACTCTTCCACCGGAAAAAAAAGAAAAAGTACTTTTAAACAAAAAGCAGATTTCTAAACAATTCAGGACCCAATTCTTCATGTTCTCCTCTGGAACACAACTCCATACCTGGGTCTCCTTGAACATGAATGCTCCACCCATAGTTCTCTCACATTTGGTCCTAAGGCACACATGCTGCTTTGTTCCTGATTCTTTGATAAAGATTTGGTCTTTAGTATGATTATAGCTCAAACTATTCACTGGTTTGTTGAAAGGAAAAGTAAAAGCCCCAGACCAGCAGTAAACACGGGCTGCAATCGTGTCTTAAATAAGAGCGCACAAAGACATCACATCCAGTTCTTCAAAGACTATCAATCTTCCATTAAGAGCCCTTTTGGTGTTTCTAACGATTCCAGTTGAGTCAGATCTCCTCATTTGAGAAGTTCCTCAAACAGAAATCAGTATTACAGTTTTATAAAAGCACCCTAAATTGAGAACTTAGATGTGCCAGCACACTCATCCCAAGATGCTCTGCTCAAGCAGCCTTACGTAATTAGGACCCTTCACACAAGAAAGACAGAGTAAAGAGACAGAAGCACTCCTCACCATTCTTAGAAGAGGAACCAGCACCTGTGCCCTGGCAGCTCACCCCACAGCCCAGTGCCTGCGCATAGCCACCAGGCACAGATCCTGCCCCAGCCTGAAGCCAGCTCTCTCTGAAAACATCACAGCACACCAGCAAGACACACAACTGTGAAATATCCTGTATCAGCTGATGTCACTGTTTGCTGAGGGTTCATCCTTTTCACAATCACTCTGAGCAGAATGGGACGCCTGGAGACAACGTAACTCTCAAAAACAAGTGACAGCTTATTGTGGATCAAACAGGCTATTTTATAACAAGTGTGGCAGGTTTGCTTCTCTTCCAGTGGCATTGTTTCTAGTAGTAAGAAGCCAGCTGCTCTGAGCAGTCACCAGAAGCAGACCTGTACCACAGTGCCCAATGCCTTTCAGCTACCTTGAGCACAGGGAACAGCAGAGCCACCAGGTTTATCCCTATTTGTCAGACAGCCATCAACATCAAACAAAGCATCAGATCTGGCTCTACCTCTTGTTTCTAGGGACTCACAACCACATACAGAGGGAAGCAAGCCTTTGGGTCACAGCATTCAGCTTCAGACACTCCTGAAGCACACACAATGAAGTGACCACCAGGAGCAACAATGCTTTTCCTCACCTTCTCATGGCATGCAGGACATGCAAACATGACATTCAAGCTCACTGTGGTGCAGATAGCAATGGACATCAAGTCTCACGGGTTCACCCAGATTACTGCCTTCCTTTCAGGACACATCAAAACCTGATTAGGCACCCACCATTTCTGATTACATGCCATTACATATAAAGTTACATAGTGGTGGGGCTTTCTTGGGGAGGGTGCTGCTTCAAGAAGCTCAGAAGACAACCCAGCAATGCTTCCTTCGAGCTGCCTTCATGCAGCCCACGGTTCTAATTTTCCCGGCGGTTTCTGCCTCGTGACTGTAGAAGCTCCGTGCCCAGCTCGCACGGCCCGAGCCCGGCGCTGCTCACGGCGACGGCCGCGGCCCCGGAACGCGTTCCTGTCCGCGCACCTCTGCCAAAGGCAGCGCCCAGCGGGCTGACCGCGGCACACACCGCAGCAGCACGGAGCCCTTCGGAATGCGAAGGCAGCACGGCAGCACGGGCCGGCAGCGCGCACAGCCGCTGGGCTCCCGCAGGCGGCGCGTTTCGGACCGCACAACGAAGCCCGCACGCGATGCGCTCCCAGCGGGCAGCTCCGGGCCGGGGGCCGCCGCAGTCAGATCCAGAATCCGAGCCAGAGCCCGCCGCTCGCCACGCTGGCACAGCCGGCCCCGAACCGCCACCTGCCCCGGCCCGGCCTCGCCGCCGCTCCGGACGCCCCACACAAAGCGCAGCGCACGCCGCCCCTGGAGGAGCCGAGCCGAGCCCAGCCCTACCCGACCCGCCGCGCCGCCGCGGCACCTTCAGCACCACTCCGGCCCGGATGGCCGCCGTGAGGCCACCCCGCCGGGGGCTGCTACAGGCCCCGCGCCGCCCACTCCGCTCGGCGCTACGAGGACGCCCGGCCGCCGGGCACTCACCGGTGCGCTGCCCGCGGGCGGAGGGTCCCGGCGTACCCCTCGGCTCAGCCCCGGCTCGGCCGCCCGCCGCCGGGCGCGCTCATCCCGTATGCGGCTGGGCGCCTCCCGATTGGCCGCCGAGCGGTGGCGCGCGGGGCCGGGCTCCGCAGGAATGGCGGCGGGGGGGGTGGTGAGGCGAAGCGGGGTTACTACAGGTCAGGCGCGGCGCGGCGCTGGGCGGGGCCAGGAGGCGGGGCCGGGCAGCCGGAGGGGTCGAGCTGCGCACCGCGCCTGCGCGGCGGCCCCGCGGCTGTGAGGCGCGGGGAGGTTGCGGGGCCCGCGATGTTAGCGGCCGGGCGCAGGGAGCCTGACGTCAGCTGTCGCCGCGGCTGTGGCTGACGGAGCAGGCTTTGGTCAGGGCTCGGTTCCTGCCGGCCGTTACTGAAGACCTGTCCGTGCGGACACCTCCAGATCCTGCAAATGGCCCTTCGCAATAGAAGGTTCACATCTCTGGTTGCGCGTGGAGCCCTGGAGTGGCAGGAACGTACCGAGTCTTGCTGGAATTAACAGAGTAGACACTTCTGATCCGTGGAGCAACAGAAGTCACCTCGGTTACTGGAAAAAATGCTTTCAAGTATTTAGAACTGAAATGCAAGAGAAGACCATTGGCTTCTAAAAAGTGGGAAATATTATCCACAGGAGATGGATAATGCTCGCTGGAAGAAGAAAGAAAGAAAAAAAAGGAAAAGTACTTTTGGAAGGAGAAGAAACTTTTTCAAAGATGGCAAACGTGGGCTTTTCTGCTACAGGAGAGAATTCACATCACTTTCTGCCAGTGGTTTCACTTACGTCAGTAGAGACAAAGTAAACTCAATGAATATGATGTGAATATTAATACACTGGAAGCAGTCCTACACTCTGCCATGTAATCTTTGACATTTCATTCCACACAATTTTCAGGATAACGCTACAAAAGCTATTTTACGTGAAGGGAAATGGGAGGTTTAACACTGGATAGTGGCATGGGGCAGAGCTCATCTGCTCGGCATTGAATCTAAGTTTGAATCCTCTGTTCACATGTTTGCTCCTGGCAATTACTACAGTGCCTAGCAAAGACCTGTCTTTGAGAAATGCATGAAATGCACAACTTGCAAGTAGACACGACCCTTATTAAACTGCTAGATCTGAACACTACTGAAGTATTCAGTGAGAGAGCATCTGCGGGTAACGTAGATTTTTCCATGCCTGCAGCTGATTATCTCACAAGGTTGTTAGGGAAACCAAAGCAACTGAAGTATTTCCCTTGCCCTGGAAGTACCAACTGTCAAACCCCACCTGGATGTCCTACGTGCAGGACATTCAGCAAAGAGCACTTCTGATGTCCCCAAAATCTGTCCAGTGCACACCACATCTTAAGATTATTTAGACAGAACTCAGCTGTTCAAATAACAACCAAAACACTTACAAAGAATGAGGAGATCTTGACTGGTCCTGAAGCTTTCAGTCACCAGCGTTCAAGTCAATTTTTAAGGAGTTCTGATTAAAAAGGCTCAACTGTGTCCAATTCCATTAGTCTGCAGCGATATCCCTTAAACTGCCCTCTGTACCGCTCAGTGCTGACAGCTGCCGAAGGCAAAACTCTAAGCTAGATAACTTGGTTCCTGCACACCTTGCAGTTTCTCACTCACAGCTCAGCATCAGAGGTGAAAGATTATCTGCAGTCCCTGCTGATTAAGCAACTTTGGAGTTAGAGACACCGAAGGTTTAAATACACATTTACACACATATATTTGTATACGTGAGAGCATATTGATTTAAACAGATGTCTACATGTACTCAGCATTCTCTTGAGCATCTTTATAGATTCCTGATGTTTAACATCTAGTACAGGCAAAGCTTATATTGATTTCACTGATTGTATCATACCTTTTAACTGAAACAGTTTGGTAAAGCGTAGGAAAGATGCGGAGGATTGGGAGGATATCAATTAATGAGTGCTTTACACCATAACACTTTTCTTGTTCAACTCTATGCTGAATACCCATAGGAAAACTAAAGAACTTGGGGATTTATAGGAACCGATGATCACATACAGAATGATTGATAACCCACATTTCTAATTGGAAATTCAAACTGTAGAAGACACTGTATAAAACACAAAATGTATAAGACACTGTGACTGTGGTAAGACACTGTGATAAGACAAGGTGACTGTGGGAGGTTGTGACCTTTCATATATAAACTACATACAACGATAAGAACTACCAAGTAAAAATATTAGCTGATTTATATATATAAAAAAAGACACAACAGCACAATTAAAGGCAATTAAAAAGCTTTTGTGTCACCCTAGAGCATTCAGGCAGTTAAGGAGTAGCTGCAAAATCCTTAATGGCTGCTACAGATTGCACTGATGTATTCACAAATGCTTGTTTATTGTTTTTAATTTCCAGTCAGCAAAACTCATTAGCTATTCTCACTTCTAAAAGTTCCAGGCATCCAGTCAAGGGGAAAGGAACACTGCCATATGTTTTGATCAACAACCGAGGATGAATAGCAAGTAGTAACTAGCAGGGAAGATTGCTTATGAAAATACTGATTAGGAAATGCAGTCAACTGACTCATCGGGAAAGAGAACAGAGAACCAATGTTATCTTGTTAAATGTGGCCAATTCTAACTAGAATCCAGTGGGAATTAACAAAAACAAAGAGCTACACTGAAAGAGGAGAGTCTATGAATGGGTAAATGCATGTGGAAGGTTGGCATTAATCTTTGATGAGCAGACTGCTGTGTACTGATACTGAGGAAGAAGCCAGAGGGGGAAAAAACAGTGTCACAGATATAACAGATGTGAAAGCTTTTAGCTAAAATTCCCTGGAGGAACACAAACAAAATTAAGCACTTCAAGAAGATACATACATTGAAACTAAAACCAAACTGACTTATGTGAACCAGCAGGGACGATTAAAGAAGGACTCGGGTAGGACAAACCTCTCGGTCTGGATAGAATATATTTCTTTTGTGTGCCTTCAAACTTGTGAAAAATCAGTGAGCCTATAATTAGTATTCTTTCTCCATGACTCACTGCATAATTGAGCACAACAAATTAATATACCCTTACTCTAAATTAAATGGACTTTAGCTAAAAAGAAGATCATGTTTTTAAACTGTTTGTTTGGAACCTATTTTGTCTCAGCTACAAACGATAACCAGTTTATCAAAGGAGGCACTTACCCCCCGATTTTTTTAATTGAACAATCAAATCAGCATTGCAGGGTTCCATCTCTAAGGATATCCTGGTAGTGTGGCATTCCAGATGCCCTCTTAAAATGGGGACAGGATTGAACTGATGGTGCAGAAGCAGGGGAAGCCATCTGGGATGGGGCTCTGACAGCAGGGACGGCTTATGTTCCTAAGGTCATCATTCCCAGAACTATTAATTTGGGGGTGTTGCTTTAAAGGATGGATTGTTTCTTGATTTTTGGCTTTTTGCTTTTCCTGGAAGAACCAGCATGAGATCTCTATGCTGAATAGTCTGCACATACATATCAGTACATTTGACTCATTTTTGTCCGTGAAGCTTTTTGATTCCAAATAAAGGAACAAATGAGTAAGTTGATACGCTTCAATTGGAAAGAGGCAAACTGTGGCATCATACCTCAAATGATTAATTATTTAGTAGAACATTTGGTATTGTGGTCGTAGCCAGAGCTATTAAGTGCTGCCACTTTTCACAGAGAGAGATTGATGACATTAATAACAGGGTGATCAAGGGTACGGTGTAAAATTCATCATCACTTGACATGGTTCAGCTTTGTTAATGCTCCAGTACTTCTTTAAATGCCTCTCTTATGTTTTCTGTTACTACATATATATTGCCAACCTACTGCAATAAATCAGAGTGCCATGTAAGTGTTAGCAGTACGATAACCTCCTCCAGACTGAAATTTCCAGCTGGGGGAAGCATGTAAATCTGTGCAACAACCCACGAGGAGCGCTCTGTGTCACCACGTGCTCTGGAACTGCCACGCTATGAGAAATTGTGTGGCCCACGGAAAATAGAGGCAGGATTAAAAATAGATTTTATTTCTGCTCTTGATCTTTCTTGCTCAAAAGCCTCCTGTCATTTTCTAGGCCAGTGAAACTCTACAGTTGAGCTAACAGCACCAAGTCAGCCAAGAGAAATCACAAGCATCTAACAATGAACAGTGGGGCTCTAGCCTGCAGAAGAACGGTGATCCTTACAGGCTCCAAAAACAACAATGATCGAATTGGCCAAGCCCAGGTCTGAGCCCATAGCCTATATTTGAGGGCAGCCATGCAGCGTTCACATGCACACACCTGCCACATGTCCCAGCTGCATTCCACACACATGGGTGCTGCAGGCACACCGCAGCCTGGTGCAGCCTTGGCTCTCCCAGGTGTGCCACAGGTTTAAGGCTGCAGTGCTGCTGCCACTACAGGTAAGGCAGCACTGGGTGCCACAGCATCCTGTGTTACCTGCACAGCAGTGACTGCCAGCCTGCCCAGCTCTGGGAAATCTGGGTTGTTAAACTGCGTTGATAAGACTTAACAGACTTGTCCAGATGACCCTGCGCCCACCTGCTATTTGAGAAAAGGCCGCTCCCAGGGCAGACTTGCTTTCTTCCACAATACTGAATGAATAAGCACAGTAATGAAGCAGTGTTACAGATGGAGTTGATGATAACTTGTTTGTAATGAGACAGCAAGTGGCTCAAATAATCAAAGTGTGCCTTCCTGCTGTAGCAAGTGAAAGCTACAAAGGCTTCTGACATTTTGCCTTTATTTAGTGGATTTTCTTTAGTCAATTACTGTGCAATGTTTTCACGAAGCAAAAGCATTTTACAGTGCAAGATTTCAACCAGGAAATAAAAGTGGCCAAGAGTTTCCAAAACAGGAGCTTAAATTCAAGCTCTTGTGCAAATCAGATATTTTGGGTTATTGGAGAAAACTAATTGAGGGAAACTACTGAGCTCTCCACAGTTTGGGAAACACTGTAACTTGATGAGTAGCCCGAGATGTCACTGAGGAAAGCGTCCCCCACTTCTTATGTCTTCTGTGCAAACAGAAT